GGGAGGGGGCGCCGGCGGTGGCGACTGAGGGAGCCTGGCCAGCCCCGCCCCTCGGCCGCGGGCGAGCGAGCTGGGGGCGCAGGCGCCAGAGCCAAACCCGGGAGCGCGGGCTGCGGGAGCGCGCCGAGGGGGTGGCGGGGAGAAACGCACGCTGGAGGCAGGGGCGGCTGCTCGCGGTCAGGACCAGTCCTGTTTCCACGGCTGCGCCTGAGGACCCCAGAGACCCGAGGGGAGGAGAGAGAGGGGAAATCGCTTAGGGGTTCACCACCTTCCCCCACGCCCTCATCTAAGCACCTGTCCTCACCCCAGCCCCAACCACCTGGAGGCCTAGGCCTGCGTGGATACGGATAGGCTGGGCCCTGGCAACCAGTGGGCGGGACCACCGCGCCCCGCCCCCACCCCCACCCCCCCCCAGCGCACCAATCCGGCCAATCGATGTCCCTGTCCTAGCCTGGGAGACGGCAGAGGTCTGGCTACTCGGGGTCCCTGGCAGCATCTGCCTCTGGCTTTTTCCAGACCCTAGGGGACCCACACACAACACATACAGCCGGTAGGGAGTGGGGGACAGTTGAAAGCACACAGCCCTGGGAATGTGGGGGTGCCACAGAGATTGGAGAAAGACGGAAGGCAAGGACCGAACGGGAGGGGGGTGCTTCGCAGGGCACCGCAGGTCCAGGCTCAGGGGAGGTCAAATCAGCGAAGGCAGCCCTGGTAGAGCAGGCTTTGTGGGGACAAGATTATGGAGGAGCCAAGAGGGCTGAGAGCAAGTGACTGGGGGCGGGCACAGCGGGTTAAGCCGCCACCTGCAAGGCTAGCATCCCACAGCCTAGCGCCCTGTGATCTGCCTCCCATCCAGCTCTCTGCTTATGGCCTGGAAAAGCAGAAGGTGACCCAGGTGTCTGGGCCCCTGGCAGCCGCTTGGGAGACCTGGATGGAGCTCCTGGCTCCTGGCCTTGGGCGGGCCCAGCCCTGGCAGTTGAGGCTATTTAGGGAATGAGCCAGCCAGTCCCTGGAAGAATCCTCTGTGTCTTTCAAATAAAAAAAAATAAATTTAGTATATGAAAGAACAGAGATGACCCTGTCCCAGGGCCCCGACACAGCTGGACAGAGGGTGTCATTTTGGTGACTTCGCCAGCCAGCATGGAGGGCCTGAGAGGTGACTGTGGTGGGGTGGGTGAGAATCTGAAGATGCCCTGACAAGCCTCCCTTATCCTTGAGGGTCTGGCCTGATCCCCTTGTCTGGCCAAGTACCCTCTGCAAACTCCTTGTTGTGCTCCTGCCTACATCACACACCTGCCGACACACGGCCTCACTCCCCACTCCATCCCAAACAACCAGCTCCCACTGCCAAAGCACACCCATGCACACAGACCTGCCCACACCTACACAGGCAACTCATCCCCGCCTGGGACTCAGGGGGCTTCTGTGCACGGGAGGTGGGAGGAGGGCTTGGCACTTGAAGAACTGAGAGAAGAGACACAGTTTTAACCAGAGCGTGCTGAGAGCTTTCTCCATACGAGCGCTTTGCCTATGGCTGGGTGTTTGGTACAGTGGTCAAGATGGTGCTCGGAGGGCCTGCTGGTAAAGCCGCCGACTCTGACACAAGCATCCCGTATGGATGCTGGTTCAAGTCCCAGCTGCTCTGCTTCCAATGCAGTTCCCTGCTAATGTGCCTGGGAAAGTAGCAGAAGATGGCCCAAGTCCTTGGGCTCCTGCAACCCACATAGGAGACCTGGAAGAAGCTCCTGGCTCCTGGCTTTGGACTGGCCCAGCTCTGGCCTTTGCCAGAGGGTGAATAGCAGATGGAAGATTCTCTGTAACTCTGCTTTTCAAATAAAACCCTTTTTAAAAAAATGCTGCTTGGGGTGCCTGCATCCCATACTGGAATGTCTAGGTTTGCCAGCTCTGCTTCTGATCCAGTTTCCTGCTAATGCACACCCTGGAAGGCAGCAGATGATGGTTCAAGTACTTGGGTCCCTGCCACCCATGTGAGAGGCCTGGATTAAATTCCCAAATCCTGGCCCAGCCCTGTCTATTGCAAGCATTTCGGGAGTGAACCAGTGGATGGAAGAATCTCCCTCTCCCTCTCCCTCCCTCCATCTCTCTCCCTCTCTGCTTTTCCAAATGACCAATAAATAAATAAAATCTTTTTTAAACGCATGCACTGTATGATTCCACTTATAGAACATTCTAGAAGATGAAGGTGAATCAATGATGACAGAAAGCAAATCGGTTGTTGCTTGGAGCTGCGGTGGGTGGGAGAGACTGAATGAACCATCTAATCTAGTCAGCCTTAGGTTCCAGGCCCTCAGAAACCAAGTGAGATAATGAAGCGCTTGATTTTTTTTTAAGCCTCTAAGTTTTGGGGTGACTTATTTGGCAACCATAGGTAGCCACCTCAAGTTCACAAAATCTGAAAAGTTGAGTAACGAGTAGCAAGTTATCAGGGGGGTGACCCAGCTGGGACACAAGCTTCCTGTATCCGAGTGCTGCTTGGAGTTCCAGGCCCTCTGCTTCTAAACCAGCTTCCTGCAGAGCCCAGGGAAGCGGTGCATGATGGCTCAGGGCTTGCGTTCCTGACTGCCGTTCACGCGGGAGACCAGGATGGAGATCCTGGTGAAGGCCGGCTCAGTGAGTGGAAAAGTCTTTCTCTCTCCCCTTCCCTCTCCCCTCCCCTCCTCTGTCACTCTGCCTTTCAAAGAAGCCAATCTCTAAAAAGTAAATAAGAAGTACAGGCAGGGTGTGGAGAAACCGGAACCTTGTGCCCTTTTGATGGGAGCCAGCAGGGGAGTTGCTCAGAAACTGTAACAGAATTCACCCTATGGCCTCTTCCAGATGTGCAGACCACGTTCATAGCAGCAGGACTGACAAGAGCCCCAGACGGAAGCAACCCAGGCGTCCACTGATGAGTGAATGGGGAGACACAACGTGGCCCATCCGCACAGTGGGATCCGATTCCGTCTGAAAGAGGGAAGGGAATTCTCACACACGCTGCGACACGGGGGAGCCTGGAGGACAACAGCTCAGGGAAATACGCCAGACGACAGGACCAGAGCTGACAGCAGACTCTGAGAATTGCCAGATCCCTGCAGACAGAAAGTAGGAGGGGGTGGGGGAGGGGTGGTGCCAGGGGCTGGGTGAAGGAGGGACTCAGTTACGAATGGGCTGAGAGCTTCAGTTTTACAAAAAAAAAAAAAAAAAAAAAAAAGGCTCCGGAGTCGGTGGACTGTGATGACTACACAACACTGCGATGTACTTATTGCCACCAGCCGGATGCTTAAAAATGGTGAAGGAGGTAAATGTTACATTTGGTGGCTTTTGCCACAATTCTGGGGGGTGTGGAAGCTGGATGTTAATGAGTGGAACGATTCTGACATGAGCTAAGGGGCGGCCCTTCTGTGGCACCTGTGTCCCATGATTGCGCATTCCACACAGGCATCTCCACCTGTGGCAGGCAGCGCCACGCCACCAGCTCAGACCCAGACAACACCAGAGCCATCCCCCGTCCATCACTGATTGCAGGGCTGCTGGCCTGGGGCTCATGAGGCTCAGAGATCCCAGTGACCTCAGAGTGTTACACAAGGACAAAATGACGTGTAGCAGGATGCTGGTTCCAGCACAGAGCTGCAAACAACCCCTCAGCACCCGCACCACCTGTAGCTTGCTACCACTGTGCCCTGAGGGCGGAACTCACAGCACAGGTCACATGAGGACGCCTGACCTCATCCCTCCATGTGCTGCTGTGCCTTGTATCTGTCAAGACAAGAAACAGAGAGCAGGGGGTCTTCCCAGCCATCTCAGCAGAGGAGGGGGTCTCACTCTCTCCCTACTGCAGGTGGAAGCGTTCCCACTGTGGGCAGGTTCTCAGAGAAGGTCAAGGTTCAAGGCCAGATGCCTCCAGGCTGAAGCGGGGATTTGCTTGGGACAGCTGGACATCCCTCCTAGATAGGCTCCTTAACCTCATCTCCCCAGCCCTCTGGTCCCCCCACACCAGCGCCCCCATGCAGACTGCTGCCCGCTTCCAGGGCAGGCACAGACAGGTGAGCACCCGGACTCTGCCTGGCTTACCTCTGCTCCCTGTGGTGGGAGCAGGAAGAAGCAGTCCCCTGCACCCCCAGCCTCCCCCTCACCTGCAGTCTTTCTTCAGCTGTGCCTTGGTTAAGCTTTGAGGCGGCTGCACCTGGCAGGGCTGGAGGCACCCAGCCTCGCCGGGAGTGTCCACGCCTGGTTCCCAGGAGAACCGTTCCCGGATGGCTCTGGGGGCTCCAGCGCCACTGACTTCCTCAGTTTTCCCCGCACGGCCAGGGCCCAGCCCGCCTGCCAAGTTCTTTGGCTCCTGTTTCTCCAGCCGGCCCGGCGCTCACCTGGGGCAGAGCGGGATTGGGAGCCCGGCGCCAGGGGCGCGGTCGACCTGGGCGCGCCCGCAACGGGGCGGGGCCAAGACGTCCCGGGGGCGGGGCGGGGCGGCTCCCGGGCTCCTGTCCAGCCCTCCCTGACTCACCCTGGCCGGCCCGCCCGGGAACTCTGCGGGAGTCCCGGCCGCTCCACTCCGAGGGACCCAGGTCTCGGGCCCAGCGTCCGTCCCGGAGCGGTGAGTAGGGGGCTCTGCGCTCCCCGGAGCCGGAGTGGCGGGGTGAATGTCGGGCTGGGAGCTGGGGTCTGGCCGAGGGGAGGGCCCCCGCTCCAGGTGCGCTCCCTCTGTGGCCTGGGGTGGGGGAGGCACGGGGGACCCAGGAACTGGGGGTGGAAGCGCGCAGAGGCTTGTGTCCTGAGGGCCGGGCAGGCGGGGCAAGCGAAGCTGAGCTCAACAGGTCAGAGGCGACCTTGGGTGTCTTGACCTCTTTTGCCTTCCCCAGAAGGGGTGCGGGAGACCGGGCCCCAAAGCATGCCCTGAGCCTTTCACAGCTGTGGCACCCCACCCCTTGGGGGGTGCACACCACCCTCCCCTCAGAGCTCCTGGACTTGGGAGAATCCCCAGTCCCCCAAATCCAGGCACAAACAGATTGCAAGAGTCCCAGGCTGGGAGTCCACAGGCCTGGGGCCTGGTCCAAGATCTGCTCCTGAGAAGTGACCCCCCCCCGCCCCGGGCCTCAGTTTCCCGCTTGTGTAAAAGGCTTCTCTCAAAGCTACAAATGACTAATTTTCTTGTTTGCCCCTTTAGCATGGAGGCTACGGCTGGGTGGGTTGGGGGGGCTGGGCCATGAGCACCCATCCACAAGGTCCACCCCCAGCAGTAGCCCTATCTGGGGGAGGCATGGGACTTGGGGAGGGTCTGAGCAAGAAGAAGCGGGGAGGGGGGTGAGGCATGCATGACTGGGGAGCAGAGGGTGCCAGGCTGATAAGACCCCTGCACCCCCAGCCGTCTCCTCCTCTGATGGTTTGGGCCTCAACGTCTCAGTGCCACATTCTCTCCATGATGGACCAGAGTGGGTGCCCTCAGGCAGACAGGGGGTCAGGTGGGCGGGGCCTGAAGGCCATCTGTGACTGTGACTACTTGAGTACTTGAGCGACAGCTCTCCCCCAAGCCTGGAGTGTGTGGCACAGCCCTCACAGCTGCACCCCCACAGCCCAAGAGCCTCTGGCAGGGAAAGTCAAGTGGGGTCATTGTTTTCCTCTCTACCCCTCCCCAATCCTACAAGCCCCTCGTCCCGGGCTCCCCGCCACCCCCCCCCCCACTCTCCAGCTCTACTCAGACAAAGGGGGACCAGACTTGTGTCTGCGGAAATTTAATGGCAGGTTCGGGATGATCAAGATTGAGTCATGGAGACAGATAATGATAATCCCAGCGCTGACGTCTGGGTCTACATACGGATACACCTTGCTCCCTGGAGCCACCGGGCTGGCTACATGGGAGCCTGACGGCTGTCACCACGCACCTGAAATGGCAGACAGGCTGGGAGGCACTGGAGCTGACACCCTCGTGAGACGCACCCTGAATAGTGGCACTTCCGTCCCCCCTGTTGCCATGCCTAGGTAAAGCTACTGAGTAGCAAAGGTGCCTGGAAGGATTTTGCAAGGCCGCAGCGGGCAGCTGGAAGGTCACCTATGTATGTACGGCACCCGCTGTCCTGGGCCTCCCTCATGCATAAACATGCATGCTCCACGCTGTCCCTTTTGGTGGCTATAAGGGACGGCCATCCCCTGGGGGGGATGCTGAGCTGCCCTGGGCGTATCGCTATCAGATTAGCTACAGGTGCACAGGGATATTCTTATGGGGCTGTGTGCTTGGGACAGGGAGTAAACGGAGCACAGGAGATGGACCCCGTGTGTGTGTGTGTGTAGGGGGAGAGGAATTCTGTGCTCTGGGTACCCTCTCACATGACCCTGGTTCTGAGGGAGTCAGGGCTCACCTGGAATGTCCTCAGGGGAAGCCCACCACCCTGATCCATGAATTCCTCCAGACTGAGGCAGGAGCCTCAGAGGGGATTAAGGGATGTGGACAGCTCAGTGGGCAGGGCCTGCTTCCTGTGTCAGTGTCCCCGCCCTCACCGTGTCCAGGAGTCACCCCAAAGCTTTCAGGGAACAGAGGGACAGAGAAGGAGCCATAGGAGCCTTAGAGCAGGTGGCTGAGGTGTAGGACCCGGGTGGGAGACGGCAGGGAGGCCAGAGCAACGCAGCCGGTGGCCCGAACGCTCCCTGCCTGGCACACTGTGCCCAGTGACAGGTGACCACCGTGACAGGAGGCTCAGGGAGCCTGCAAAGGAATTCAGGGAATGTCGATCAGAGCAGCTTGGATGGCAGCACGCGGGGTCCCCTAGGGGCCCCCATGCTTTGCTTTGCCCTGCAGCCTGTGGCACTTGTGCCTGTCCCATGTGTATCTGCAGTAATGATATGTTGGTCTAAAATGAAACACAGGGACAGACAGAGTGGGTCAGCTGCCCAGTCCCGTCCCAGGCGTAGGTGTCACCCTGACAACTTTCCCTCAGCCATCCATCACCTCTTGGTCACTCCGACACCCGCACACACACACACCTCTGCCCCCTTGCAGGTCTGGCTCAGATTCTGGGCTTTAGCCCCTCGAGAAATTCAGGTGTCCTGGTCGCCACCCACCCCCAGGGCTGACCAGGCGTCGGCCTGGCCACTCCCTAACCCCTGGGGCCCCAGTAACCAGAGCCTGGCTCCAGCCGGCTTTTCCGGTTGGAAGTCAGAGGTGGTGCTGGGAGCGCCCCCGGGGGGGGGGGGGGCACACACCCCGGAAGTCTGTGCTGGCAGTGTTGGGAGCCAGGGGCTGCCCAGCTTAGAGTGTCAAGGGATGAAGGGGGAGTGCCTGGGGTTGGGGAGAAAGTGACACGGGGGACAGTGGGTTGTGGACTGCTGCTCCTGAGCTCTGAGGGGTATCTTCCTGGCAGCAGGTGAGTGGTGAGATGGCAGACCCTGGCTCTGGGAAGGAGGTGGGGTCTGGAGGCTGTGGTAGGGGAGGCCAGGCTAACAGGGGAACAGGTGCACATAGCTGTTGGGGTTCTGCACAGGTTTTTTTTTTTTTTTCCTTACTATCAATGTATTTATTTGAGAGAGATCTCCCACATGCTGGTTCATTCCTCCAAATGCCCACAGTGGCTGAAGTGGGGACGGGTGAGGAGGGGGGCAAGAATGGGGAATGGAAGCCAAGAGCTGGGAACTCAGTCCAAATCTTCCAGGTGGGCGGCAGGGGCCCAGGTACTTGAGCCATCTCCCGCTGCTTCCCGGGGTGCCCGTTAGCAGGGAGCTGGAATCGGGAGCCAGGGCCAGACCCTAACCTAGGCACGCCAATGCGGAGCGCAGGCGGCAGAGCCACGGCACCAGACGCCTACCCCATCTTCTGGGTTGTAGCAGGGCCCAGCGTGGATTGGGAATGGGATGGGCCTGTGGCTGGCGCCCCTTCTTGAGGGTCTCTCTCTGTCCCATCCTCCCCCCCGCCCCCACCCCACGCCTGCAGGTGCGATGATCCCCGTGGCCGAGTTCAAGCAGTTCTCGGAGCAGCAGCCGGCGTTCAAGGTGCTCAAGCCCTGGTGGGACGTGCTGGCCGAGTACCTCACCGTGGCCATGCTCATGATCGGGGTCTTCGGCTGCACGCTCCAGGTGAGGGGTGTGGCCAAGGGCATGGGCGGGGCCGTCTGGAAGCCTTGTCTGCCGAGAGACAAGAAGCCTGTTCCCACCCCACTGCTACTGGGAGCAGCACTTCGCATCATGATGGCATTCTGTACGCTTAAACTGTTTAGCCCTAGACTTTTTTTTTTTTAAGCTACCTATTTGAGAGGGAGAGAGAGAAGCAGAGATCTCTGGGGCTGCAGCAGGAACTCCACCCAGATCTCCCACGTGGGTGGCAGGGACCCAGCGACTTGAGCCGTGCCCTGCTGCCTCCCAGGGTGCGCATTAGCACGGAGTTGGAATCGGGAGCAGAGCTGGAACTTGGACATGGGATATAGAGGTCCCAATGGGCTCCCTAACTGGTTTACCAAACACCTACTCCTGCCCCTGGAATCCCAAGGGGACTGGAATACCAGCCGTGGACCACCTGGCAGTGCTGGAGGCCAGAGGCTGCGGTCAGGGTGTTGTCCCCAGGGTGCTTCCTCCTGAGACCTGCGAGGAATGAGCTGTCCCATGGATCCTGGCAGCCCCAGCCATCCCTTGGCTTCTGCAGGACTTTCTTCCCTCTCCCAGGGACTTCAAAAAATTTGCAGAGAGAAAGTGGAATTCAAAGATGAGTTTGGGGGTGGTGTTCCTGGTGCAGCGAGCTAAGCTGTGTCCTGCAATGCCAGCATCGTATATCAAAGCAAGAGCTCGAGTCCCGGCTGCTCTACGTCCAATGCAGCTCCCTGCTAATGCACCTGGGAGGTTTCCTATGTGGGAAACCCCAGTGGAGTTCCAGGCTCCTGGCTTTGGCCTGGACCAGCCCTGGCTGTTACAGCCATTTAGAGAGTGAACCACAGGATGGAAGACATCTCTCTCTGTCACAGTCTCCTTTAAATATAGAAATCTTTTTTAAAAATAAAAGATATTGGCCAGCGCTGTGGCTCACTTGTCTAATCCTCCACCTGCAGCGCTGGCACCCCGGGTTCTAGTCCCGGTAGGGGCACCAGATTCTGTCCCGGTTGCTCCTCTTCCAGGCCAGCTCTCTGCTATGACCAGGGAGTGCAGTGGAGGATGGCCCAAGTGCTTGGGCCCTGCACCCGCATGGGAGACCAGGAGGAAGCACCTGGCTCCTGGCTTCGGATCAGCACAGCACACCGGCCGTAGCAGCCATTTGTGGGGGTGAACCAACGGAAGGAAGACCTTTCTCTCTCTCTCTCTCTCTCACTAACTCTGCCTGTCAAAAATAAATAAATAAATAAAAGATGTTTATTTTGATGCAACATTTTTTTAGAAATTCATGCACAGCTTTTTCATAATAAGCGTTCCTAGGGCCAGCACTGTGGAGCAATGG